AGACACACAGACACACAGACACACAGACACACAGACACACAGACACACAACCACACAGACACACAGACACACAGAAACACAGAGACACAGAGACACAGAGACACAGAGACACAGAGACACAGAGACACAGAGACACAGAGACACAGAGACACAGACACACAGAAACACAGAAACACAGACACACAGACACACAGACACACAGACACACAGACACAGAGACAGAGAGGCACACACAGAGACACAGAGACACAGAGACACAGAGACACAGAGACACAGAGACACAGAGACACACAGACACACAGACACACAGACACACAGAAACACACACACACACACACACACACACACACACACACACACACCACACACACACACACACCACACACACCACACACACCACACACACACACACACACCACACACACACCACACACACCACACACACCACACACACCCACACACACCACACACACACACACACCACACACACCACACACACACACACACACACACACACACACACACCACACACACACACACACACACACCACACACACCACACACACCACACACACCACACACACCACACACACCACACACACCACACACACCACACACACCACACACACCACACACACCACACACACCACACACACCACACACACCACACACCACACACACCACACACACCACACACACCACACACACCACACACACCACACACACCACACACACCACACACACCACACACCACACACACACACACACCACACACACACACACACACACACACACACACACCACACACACCACACACACCACACACTCACACACACACACACACACACACACACACACACACACACACACACACACACACACACACACACACACACACACACACACACACACACACACACACACACACACACACACACACACACACACACACACACACACACACACACACACACACACACACACACACACACACACACACACACACACACACACACACACACACACACACACACACACACACACACACACACACACACACACACACACACACACACACACACACACACACACACACACACACACACACACACACACACACACACACACACACACACACACACACACACACACACACACACACACACACACACACACACACACACACACACACACACACACACACACACACACACACACACACACACACACACACACACACACACACACACACACACACACACACACACACACACACACACACACACACACACACACACACACACACACACACACACACACACACACACACACACACACACACACACACACACACACACACACACACACACACACACACACACACACACACACACACACACACACACACACACACACACACACACACACACACACACACACACACACACACACACACACACACACACACACACACACACACACACACACACACACACACACACACACACACACACACACACACACACACGGCACACCTGTACCTCGCTTCCTGAGACGCTGCCAGGTGGGTGAGGTTGGTGGAGGTTGGCTGGAGAAGGGCGCATACGACTTCCTGGAGCTTCTGTGCACGTTTAGATTATGGGATGCGGCAGTAGCCCTGGAGCTGTTAGGCTGCAGGTTGAAGGTTGTGTCAATGTGTTGTTGGCTTGATCCGGAGCTCGGAACAGCGAAGGGGCTGGCAAACGTGTGAATATGTCACTTGTAAATGGATAGCAAGACCGCCTCACTCACTAGTTGCACCCCTACAGGTCCTCAGGCTCCTGTTCTTGAGCTTGGAGAATGCCAGGTTGGCCCTGCTGCGCAAGAGGATTTGCTGCTGCGGTAAACCGTCCTGCTGGAAGACCAGGCGAGCCCTGGTGCTTGGTGGTGTAACTGTTGGAATGGACGGCAGATGGTTCATAGGAAGACCCAGCCAGCTGGAAGCACGAATTTCGCGCACGAAGAAATCGGCAGATCGGCGTTTTTGAGACTGGACTCCAGGCCTTCCGCTATCCCGGACGACCTGGAACCGCGGACTCAAAGGCTTGGCTGCTCAGTGAGGGTTCACAAGCCTAGCGAAAGGACTGCCAGGCTGCCAGACAAGGTAATTGAAAAAGGAAAGGCCTGGAAACGTTCCTGGGATGCCACCCATGTCTTCACGTGCCTGCATTTGGCATCTCCACATGATGAATTATCACGAGAACCTCTTGACTGACATGGAGGAAGCCAGATTCCGCAAGCTGCCAATTGCTTTGGTGAACTGTTCGTAGCTGCCGATTACAGAGGCGTGTTCACCCAAGGAAGCTCAATTGATAGTTTGTGTTCCAGCCAACGCATGCGCTAGGTTTGCCTGGCAACTTGTCATCCAGGGGTTTTGTTCTATGGCACTAGACAAACCCGATTTTGGATTGGCTACCGCAGTTGTATTCAGCCAAAATACAGAGTTGTATTCAGCCAAATTGTACAGCAACTGCAGCCTGGAATAAATGGGAGACAAGCAAGAGGACGGTTCAATGGCGCTTCCAACAAGAGGGCGGAGCCGAGGCAAGCAAACTCACGTAACATGTCTCCTTGACCTGATGGCATTGGTCAAGTGCACTCATTCCAACGTATTTGGCAGAAACCGGACAGGTAGGTGTCGGGATGTGGAACAAGTTTCTTCTCGCTGGACAGGTCACACCATCAGAGTGCCAGCATTTCCGGTGCGTGCCTGATATGAACCGCATCAGAGACGCTCCGCAGCAGCTTATAGACTGGTGGGGCTGTGTAGCCGATGATGAGTGTTGTTTTTGGCGCACTCATGACAACGTGCTCAGATGTGGGTTGTCTCCATGCAACTGCCTTATACTTGCGCCATTGAACGGCGAAGAGGCAGTCACACCAAAGAGTGTCATGTCCAGCAGAACCACGCTTATCAGGACTGGCTCGAGCATGTCTCTTACTTCTGTTTGACCAAGGGCTGGTCGCCGCCGGACAAGAACCCGATGGACCTGCTCATTGTCGCCTCGTGGGCTGGGCCCTGAGAGCAAGTTCTTTGGGAAGTCCTATGCCAAGAAAGCAACCACCCGTTTTTTTTCTTCTTTTCTCTTCTTCTTCCTTCCTTTCCGTTTTTTTTTTCTCCTCCGGATCCCCCCGCCTTGAGAACGCGCCGAAGCTCACGAGGCTCGCCTCTACCCGTTGGCGGCGGGCAGCGCGGCGGTGCGGGGCTCGAGGGACACGTTTGGGCGACCTGGACACGGGTCGTTTTGCGTCGTTTGTCTCTTTCTGGTTCCACGGGTTCCCATTTTGTTGGTGGTCTCAAAGGCAAGCCCAAAGGCAAACCACTATTTTGAAGTGCCAAAACCATACCACTTATGATTTCTAGCTTCTTGTTCCCCATGTCTCCTTTGAGCAGGCTTCAGGCGATTCCCCCCACCTGCGATCGTCCGAGTTCGGGCGCACCTGGGAACTCGGGCGGACGCTGCCAGGTGCTGGCGGCGGGCCGGGGCCTCTGAGCAGCTTGGAGGTGCCCAGGATGGGTCCCAGGAGAGGGGGGGGGGTTGTGGGTCGTGGCGGGGCTCTTTTGCCGCAAAAGACCCCAAAAAGAAATAGATACCGGAAAGATCAAGGTGCTTTGAGTGTGTTCCGCAATGGGGCATGTGGACCCCGCAGGCTTTTAGTGCACCAGGGAAAGCTCTCCCACGTGCTCAGGCCTGGTGCTGCTTTGCTGTTGCCGATGCCGGCAATGTTGCAAGTCCAAGGCGGACCGGTCCGCCGGGGGGAGTTGGGGAGTTTTCCTTTGCCATGGCAAAAGTCCGTCGCCTGGAGGATTTGTTTTCCCGTCCAAAAAATCTCCAGAAATGACTGAGTTATGAACGCTGTTCTTGAAGCCTGAATTGCGGCAGGTGGGTGCAATATGATTCTCCCCTGGACAGGTGACTTCTGCGAAAAAGACGTCCTGAGGCAGTGTGAAGCAGCGTTCCAAAAGCTAGTTCGCAGGAGGCGGGTGCCCAAAGAAGTTGGCAGCCGCAGCTTTTCCCATCGGCTTTTCGCAATTTTTAAAGCAATTTCGTGCCCAAAGACGGCCAGAGCAACAGAATAGCTGAAAAGAGCTCATACTGCACTGCATTTGACCCAAATCAACGTCTCCCTCTTTGTTTGTTTTGTCTGTGGAACTTTGAGCACAGTAAGTACAGGCAGCTTGTGTTCACGCAAGGCATCAGTGGCGCCTCCCCCCACCATTTTTGGGAGGCAGTTTGTTGGTACTGTACGTGATGTACTTGCTTTGGCCGCACTCTTCGTGCAGCCCATCAAGCGCGGCCACAAACCGTGGCGCTTTTAGTAGGGTGCGTGTGGTGTCCACAGCGCTGACGATATAATTTACACTTGGACCTTCACGGGCTGCGTGTTGTGTGTTCAATCACGCCCGTGGCATTTTCAGTTGCATCGGGCCTAACGCATCGTGATCCGTAGTCGCCCATGCCGGAAAGCAGTCGGCGACCATCCAATCTGCACTGGCCACATGCCGGTCCGCTGTGAGAAGGCTGGATCTTGAAGACGTGTGTGTCGCTGGCATGTTGTCTCTGAGGAGGGGAAGTTTGCGCATGTTTCGCAGTGTTCTTTCAGAGGATGAGCCTTTCAGACAAAGTTTGCATCTCGGTCATCTGTATTGTTAGCTTTGCAGGACCATCATATGCAGGGCTCACTATAATGTCTAGCAGGTGAAGCAGGAAACTGTGGTCCACTGGCAGGCTACCATTGTGGGGGGAAGATTCTTTGCTTGCTCCAACGCTGGGCCCGATTGGAAGTTTGTCCCCTGGTTTGATCCTTGTAAACTAGTTGATTTCATGGATGCGGCGCTGTCGTGCAAAATGGGAACTATCAGAAACGACTCAAATAGAAACAGCTAAGACAGGATGGACACCTGGATTCAAGGTTGCGCCCAGGGAACGATAGACGCATCACGTATCTTCTTTTTCTTCTCACCAGAACATCATTTTGTTTTTGAAGCTACTTTGAACCCAGCTGAAGGAGCCATGTGCAGGTGCAAACCCACCTGCTAGACGTCCAGGGGGAGCAGACTGGCGTGGTGATCTACCACCTAAGCCACTCTACCAGCAGGCCAGTCCGGGTTTGGGGTTTGGACTCGTACGCCACGTGCGCCAGGCCGGGCATCCAGGCGAGCCGAGGCCCCTGGCTGCTGGCGGTGCACTTCGGCGCAGTCCGGGGGCCCGGAAACGGCAGCTGTCCGGAGGGTTTCCGGAAGCCGTTGGGCTTGCGGAGGATGGGATGTTTTTTTGCGACGCGACCGGTGCTTTCAGGTTGAGTGATGCTTCTTCGGTTTGATGTTTGTTCCGAGAAGCTGGGTTGGTCGCCGAGTCATGTTTCAGCTTTCCACTAATTGGTGGTCTGGATTGGTGGTTTGGGGATTTGACCTGGCTTTTGTGGAGGATAAAAATGTGAAACCCTTTTTTAACCACCAGGGAAGCTGAATGTCGGTCAGAGTGGCGCGGGCTCTCGAGGTCCTGCGCCTGGACTCGCAGCTTGCTGCCGATGGGGCAAAGTGCCGCAGCCTGAGACGAAGCGTGTGGCCATCGCCATGCACCCGTGATAGAAGTTGTCGTCATTTGGGTATGGGTCAAAATTAAACCACCAGGGGACTGCAGGTTTTCGTCCATGTTTCCATTTGCCAGGGTCCATTTTGAATACCTATTTTTGACCCACAGTCATTTTGGCTCAAGAATTCGACGGCCTGAGAAGGAGGCAGGTCCTTTTTGTTTAGCTGCAGATTTTCTAGGGCCAAGCGCAGGTGCTAGTCTGACGGTTCGCGATGCGGGCAACGATTTGTTTGCTCCTTTCTACAGCTGTTGCCAAGTCCTTCCCATACCCAGATGACTTCGATCGAGTATCATATTGCGAGACCTGCGATGGAGATGGGGCAAGGATTTGCAACAGCTCGGACTGCAAGACTCGATGCCCCGCCGAAGGGAAGCAATGCTTCAAGGCAAACCGCTTCAAGTTGGGATGTTGCTGCGACCCTCAGAAGGTGCCGCCGGAGGAAACGTTCAAGTGTAGGAGTGGAGCCAAGACCAGTGGAAACTGCATGTTGGAGTGTTGCAAGGCGACGAAGTACGCTGGGCTGACGACCTGGGGAACAATCTGTGGAGATGGGTGTTGCAAACCCAGCAACCATGGGGCTCAATTGCAATGCGGATCAAGTTGGCCACTGCCTTTGAGAGGAGGGAAAGCCAGGCGACATCCATGTTGCATTTTGAAGGGTGCCACACAGGATCATCAGATTGGCGCACGTTGTTGCTTGCATGGAGATGGGGTAAATTGCTCCTCACCTCAACAGGAACCGTGTTGTTTGTTGCCAAGTACCGGTGCCATGCACAACAAGAGCCGGAGTGCGGATCCACATGCAGTTTGTCAGAGAATTTCATGTGCTGCGTATGTTCCCTGCCAGACCGCCAGAGGTGTGGACTGCAGTTCCAGAAAGCACACAGTGTGCTGCTTGAAAGGATATCAACCTTCTATCCACGATCCTTGCCAAGCATCGGTGCAAGACTGCAGCAACCGCTACGTGGCTTGCAACACTGCTGATGAGTTGGGAATCGATTGTTCTTCCACTGTCAAGGGGGTGTGTTGCCTGCCGGCTGGCAAGGACACAGCCACTTGCCGACGTGGGGATTGTGAAGCGTACAAGAAGGATCAAACAATTTCCTTCTGGCGCAATGTGTCTTTAGGATGCATCGCCGCAATCGTTCTACTGGTCGTTTGCAAATGTTGCTATCAGCGCTTTCGCCGCTGGTACCGGACCTTGATAGATCACTTCGAGCATTTGCGACCTTCGCTGCTGCTTTCAAGTGGCGAGCTTGCTTCAACAGTCCCCCTGGTGGAGCATCCAAAGCGAGTGTTGCTTGCCATCTTCTGCCAGAACTACCGTGACACAACCTACGGGCAGCTACGGACACCATCTAGCGATGCTGACTTGATCGCAGAGGGATGTGACAGCATCGGCTACGACAAGGTGATCAAAGTGCAAGGATCCAGCCGTGCCGCCATGGTCGAAGGATTTAGGCAAGCTGTGCAAGAGTTAGCCGGAACCAAACAGAGTTTGTTGCTTGTCTCCTTCTCCGGCCATGCGGTAGAAATGAATAGCAAGATGATGTGGGCACCTGAAGATGCTAAGCATGGCGATATAGCGCTGCACTTCGATGTTGCTTCTTTGTGCCATGATTTGATGGAGTTCCATATGGTTGACGTGTCCTCTGGGCGTTTTGGCGCGGGCGCAGCCAAGAATTTGTTCGTGGTGATCTTGGCAGATTGCTGTCGCGAGCAGGTTGACAGTAGCCATTGTGATCCCTTTCGAGAAGGGCGGCGCTGGAGAAGGCGCCGCGATCGCCCCAGCCTGTACATCATCTATGCTTGTGGCCCTGGACTCAAGGCGCGGGATGTGGCGGCAAGTGGTCAGTGCAGTCCCTTCATGCAGCATGTGGTGGAGCAACTGTGGGTCAACCAAAGGTTGTCTTGCTTTGCAGACAAAGTGGCTGCAAACCTGAACCGGACTACAGATATGTATCAAGAGGTTTGGCACCGTGAATGCTGCGGCGACTTCCAGGGTGTCTCCTTGGCAATACCATTGACAGAAGCGCGATTGCGAAGCGGGAGCGGTTCTTCGATGCTTACAGAGAATTCCCAACCTGAAGTTACAGCCAGGCGCCCAAGCGTCTAGGCGACAAGCTTTGCACAAGTCATGGCTCTTTTAAGCACAGGCCTGGTACCACTGTAGCACTAGCAGTCCAGCCATTGTGATTCTAGGCGGTGCGGTACATTGAGGCATTCCATGGAGTCCGTGGGCAAAAAAGAATCCGAGTGGTGTTGAATGACCGCTGGCAACCTGAACTTGGGGCCACTGGCCACAGAGACAGGTTTGATGGGCTGGAGCTCAGTTCACCAGGTTCCCTCTCAAGCCTCACGGTGTCGATTTGAGCAAGGCTTGGAGCCGCTCTCCCACTTCGCGCGGAGCTGCCTAGTTTTGGATGCAGGACAGAAAGCAGAATGAGCAGGCCATGCCAGCTTTGACTTATCCCAGTTGCATGACCTTGGACTTATTCGGAATGAGAGAGCTGTTGTTGACTGTACCATAAGATAATTGCAAACGCTGCGCGTTGCCCGCCTCGGCCCAGCCGAGAGCGCAGCGTCTGTGGTTCGACTGCAAGCAGCAGAGCTGGTCAAATGGCGATTCAGGCATGGACAGGTTCTGGCGTTGTTGGACTTGATGTCATGGGCCCACAGGAATCCCCGAGGCAGGGGCAAGGCGATGCAAGGAGGGAGCCATGGAGCCAGCAGACAGGGCGGGCTGGGTTGGTTGGTGGAGCCTTGCTAGGGTGGTTGCTGGTTGGGCTGGGTCTGAGGCGAGTCTCAGACACTGGGCCCTAGCATCTCAGACATGTGAGTCGAGGCCTGGCGGGTTGCTGGTTGGGCTGGGCTGTGAGGCTAGTCTCAGACACGTCAGACGGGCCTGGATTCATGCTTTGAGTTTTGCAACTCTCAGCGCATTTGCAACAAAAATCGGCGGACACGATCTTGGGGTCAGCAGACATGGGTGAGGGGTGGGGGGGTCAAGGGGTTGGGAAGATTCCCCTTGGCGAATTGGAGTGGGTTGGCCGAATGCGCAGCTGTCCTTGGCACCCTCTGTGATACTCTTTTGGATACCTACTGGCGAGTCAGCCACGCCCATTTTTCTGACATGTCCGATTTTAGCAGCCCAAGGATCCTTTGCGGCGTCTCGTGAGAACATCGAAAGATGGCGTGGTCCACCTCGCAGCACAGAGCAAGCCAGGCCCTACCGAATCGGTGCAGACGCAAGGAAGGACGTCGTTGCAGAGCGCGCGCTAGGCATCGGGCGTCGCTTTTCGCTCGGTCTTGCAGCTGGTTGCGATTGTTGTGGTTGGGGTTGTGCTTCTTCTTCTTCTTGTTGTTGTTGCTGCTGCTGTCGTCGTCGTCGTCGTCGCTGCTGTTGTTGTTGTTGTTGTTGTGGTTGTGGTTGTGGTTGTGGTTGTGGTTGTGGTTGTGGTTGTGGTTGTTGTTGTCGTTGTCGTTGTCGTTGTCGTTGTCGTTGTCTTTGTCGTTGTCGTTGTCGTTGTCGTTGTCGCTGTCGCTGTCGCTGTCGCTGTCGCTGTTGTTGTCGTTGTCGTTGTTGCTGTTGCTGTTGCTGTTGCTGTTCTTGTTGTTGTTGTTGTTGTTGTTGTTGTTGTTGTTGTTGTTGTTGTTGTTGTTGTTGTTGTTGTTGTTGTTGTTGTTGTTGTTGTTGTTGTTGTTGTTGTTGTTGTTGTTGTTGTTGTTGTTGTTGTTGTTGTTGTTGTTGTTGTTGTTGTTGGTGTTGTTGTTGTTGTTGTTGTTGTTGTTGTTGTTGTTGTTGTTGTTGTTGTTGTTGTTGTTGTTGTTGTTGTTGTTGTTGTTGTTGTTGTTGTTGTTGTTCTTGTTCTTGTTCTTGTTCTTGTTCTTGTTCTTGTTCTTGTTCTTGTTCTTGTTCTTGTTGTTGTTCTTGTTCTTGTTCTTGTTCTTGTTCTTGTTCTTGTTCTTGTTCTTGTTCTTGTTGTTGTTGTTGTTGTTGTTGTTGTTCGTTGTTGTTGTTGTTCTTCTTCTTCTTCTTCTTCTTCTTCTGTCCTGCTTCTTCTTCTTCTTCTTCACTGTTGCTGGCATGCTTTTAGTTCTTAGTTTTTTTGGGTTCTGTTTAGTTTTAGTAGGGAGCTGCTGAAAACAAAGTTAATGCTACCGTACCAAGGGTTCCCCAGTGTTCTTGCTGTTCTTTGCTCGCTGTTTGCTGTTTCGTGTTTGCTGCTGCTGTTGCTGCTGCTGGTGCCGCTGCTTTTGTGCCGCCGGGGGCCGGCCGCCGGCCGCTGCCGTCGCTGCTGCTGCAGCTTGTTTTCGTTTTGTAAATGTTGTTAATGTTGCACAAGCGCTGCACTTTTTTCCACAGGATTAAGTTGCTTTGGAAAAGCCGCATTGGCCATGCGCCAGAGTCAAGCAAATGAGGTGCAAGCCCTTCGGCACGATCACATTTAGCATCATGACAGCCTAACATTAGCGTTGTGGCTTCTTCGAAGGAAGTCCGTGTCTCAGGTCATACCAGCGTTTGGAGCCAAACCGAATGGCTGTTGCGGGTTCAGCAAACAACATTTTGCACAGACCAAGCCAAAAAAGCTATAAGATGAGACAACTTGTGGCGAGTTGGCAGATTTGAGTGATACGCCCTTTTGCTTCGGTGGTTCCGTCTTCATGCCCAAGGCAAGTAGGCTGCAGCTCATGGCACCATTTTGAGGCCCCGGCCGAGCCAGGCTTGTGCAAGTACCTGGACCATGTCCTGAAGATATCAGAGAGCCCCGCCCGGTCGCCAAGATGCAGCTCGTTTTTTTGCGCCTGGCCTCATGCAAAATCAGCAAAAGCAGGCGAGGGGGCAGCCAAAAGCTGCGATTTGCTTGTGACATTGAGGCGCCCAAAGCACTGGCGCGCATCGTGGATGACTTCGTGGCCACGTGTCCTGTGCACTTTTGGAGTCAATGTCAGGCTTACTTGCTGTATTTTGCTTAAAGAAACTGATTTGTGCAGGTCTCACGGTGAGCAGACGATGTTCATTGTGTGGAGGTGGGCAAAGAATGATGCCCTCAGATTACTCCAGGGAAAGTGATGTTCTTTGAATCCAAGTTCATTGTTTTTTGTTTTCTCCCAGACATTTGCGTGGGCGCAGCCACAGGTTGCGCGCCGGATGGTTTTAAGTTCTCAGGTACTGGGTGGGCGACCTGGCTGCAAAGAAGGTGCCATGAGGCTGTGGGGAGCTGTTGTTTGAGACCAGGATTAGCTGCAGCACTGCAGATTCTGAGGCAACCTGCAGCGGACGTTGAGGCTGGCTTCTTCTCCGGCTTTGACTGAGGCTGGTTCTTGCGAAGGCACCAGTGATGTTTCGGATAGGCTTCGAGCGCCTTGGCTGGCAGGTAACAGTCCACACCATGCCGGGAGCTTGTTCTCATCGAAGGGTATTCTTCTTTTTGCTGGTCAGCATAATTTGGATGTGAACATAATCTAGCTATATCTAGCTTTTTGTGTTTTCTTCGTGTTCCAACATGCCGGGCGTTTGAGTGACGGCACGAGAGCACTTTATTCAAGGCCGGATGGCAAGACGGCAGTGTCCACCTTCCTAGGCGGGCGGTGCTCTGGCCATGGGGGGCTTTAGCCTACAATAATGGGGCCAGCTGCATATGATATGCACAATGTGAGTCGCGGCTCCAAGTAGTAGATCTTGAGAAGCGCGGTCAATTTAGCTTGTAATGGCGGACAAGCGCCGGCTGCAAGAGCTATTTGAAAAGTACGATGCGTCCGGTGATGGTGTCCTTTCTGAGGAAGAGATGCTGACGTTGTTCGAGCATTTGGGCGTTCCAAGGGCCAAAGCGGAGGCAGTCTTCAAAGAAGCTGATGCCAACAAGGATGGAACTATTCAAGTCCATGAGTTCATTTCCTGGCTCACATCCAACAAGCCCGCCTGGAGCACTCTTGCCGATCTGGGCGAAGACGAAAGCGGGCGCATCACGTTCGTCATCGGAAATTCCAGCAAGCACACCATGAAATACAGCTTCAAGTTTCTGGCCTGTGAGAATTGTGTTCCCCTAGATGGGAATCCAGTGCAGGTGGTTATTGAGCCGGGAAAGCGGGTTTTCAAGCAAGTGCTGTATGTTTCCAAAGGATTCAGCTACGAAGTGGCACCTGTCAGCTGCCGTGCTACAGTGAACAACGGAGAGGATGATCTCAGCAAGGCTTTCAAGGATCCGGACTTCCCACATGATGAGACGAGCACGTTGAGCAGCAAGTTCCCCGAGGTGGACGTTGGCAAGCCCGACAGATGGGTGCGCGCAAGGATGCTGGGAAATTCCAGTGAAGCAGTGCTGTTTGATCAAGTGAGGCCACAAGATATTAATCAAGGAAAGCTTGGAAATTGCTACCTTTTGGCTTCCTTAGCTGCTTTGGCTCAGCAGCCTCAACGTTTGAAGAGCCTCTTCTCGGAGAAGCACCTTACAGAGGATGGCAAGTACACCGTGAAACTCTTCCATATCGACAAGAAGGAGTGGGTGAAGGTGGTGATAGACGAGTTCGTGCCCTGCACAAGCAAGGACGGCATCTTGCAGCCGTGCTGTGCACAACCGCTGGGTGAGGAGATATGGGTCGTGTTGCTGGAAAAGGCCATTGCCAAGTTCTGTGGCGGCTATGCTGACATCTATGGTGGCATGGAGAGCTGGGTATTCAACGTCTTGACCGGTCAAACCCCTGAGGTCTTGCAGAAGACGAAGAAGGGCTGGCAGAGCTACTTCTCCCGCAACATGAAGGCGCGGGATCCGCGATCAGGTCGACCTCGCAAGAACCGAGACCGGGCGCCCATGGATTCGGAGCAGCTCTTCCAATACCTTTCGGAGGCCCTTGCGAATAAGCACCTCATGTCCTGCAGCGTGAACTTCGCGGATGACAAGCCTATCAACACCCCAGAGATGGCGTCTGCGGTGCATCAAATGTACGGGCTGCAGGCCAACCACGCCTACTCATTACTCAAGTGCTTCGAGGAAAAGCTGGACAATGGCCAAGCCATCCGTTTGGTGCAGATTCGAAACCCTTGGGGCTTTGGCGAGTGGAAAGGCGACTGGGCGGACTACAGCAAAGATCAGCTGCCGGATTGTTGGGAGAAGAATCCAGAGCTCAAGGCTCGTTTGAAGGTGAAGAATCAGAATGATGGCTTCTTCTACATGTCCTTCGAGGACTTCGAAAAGCTGTACACCGGCTGTCAGTTGTGCCCTGTGGGTGACAAGCCCATCCCGCAAGATGAAGAGTTGGAGGAAGATCTGGGGGAAGAGTCCAAGGGATTCTTCTCCAGCATGTTTGGCAGCCTCTGGTGAGGGCCTCAAAGCTTCAAGGCCCCGCGCGGACTCGCGGAGCTTCTGGGCCTGAGTCCGCCCGTCCTTCTGGTTTCTTTGCGCCTGATGCTTGAAGCATCAGGCGTCATTTCTTGTGGTGACATAGTGAATATGTACCCCACTGGTTTCACCTTGATGAGCAGGCACTTGTCGAGGAAATCAGGGACTCCCTCCTGAGCCAAGGAGTTCGTTCTCCCGCGAAGTCTCCCCAAGGCATGGTGCAGTGAGGCTCTGAGCATGGCCACCTACCCACTTTCGTCAGGCCGTGTGAGACCAGGGCAGGAAATGCTAGGCTCGGGGCGCGGGGTCAATGAGTAGCTTGGTGCTCTTGGTGCCATGGCAACTCTTTACAACTCGACATACTTCATACAGTCGCAATTGAGAGATAGCCTTATGATTCTCTTAGCCCAGAAAGAGCAGGGCCTTTTGTTCGCTTTTCCATGTTACCAAGAAGGTGATGCCGCTGCGTAGGAACCCCGGATACAGTCACAACTCTTGATTCGCCATTGGACGTAGGTGGGACTTAGGGCAATGCTGAACGTGCAGTCCAGCTAGCATTTCTGCAAGGCTGTTGGATAGATAAATCGCCTAGCTGGCAAGCCATTTCGCCATTGAACGCGCCTCAGTTGCTTTTTGTTCTGCACTCTATGATGCCAGTAGCTGGAAGAGCGAAACTGCATTCTCAGTTCCAATCCGCGATTGGATACGAGACATGTGAGGTCTCAGACGTTTCATCAATCTTCTTTCGCAAGCTTCAGTAGCTGCCTGCAACGAGTAGCAAGAAATCTACTTTGAGCATGACTGGAAGTGAAACTCAAGAAGGGTGGGACTTCAGTCGATCCAAGCTTAAGACTCAGTGTACTTAAACAGTTGCGCATGTGTCAATAGGAGGCTAATGTGGGATACCCTCATAAAACAGCGGGTGTTGAAAGGAAACGGGACACGGACGCAGAGAAGGGCCAAGCTAATTGACCACACCCATTTGCCGCGCAGATACTCCCTCTCCAATGCCAACTTGCAAGGAAGCGCTGAAGAGGCGCGAAGAAGTCTTGCGAGAGCTCACTTTGCCTGCTTAAGCTAGCTCTCACATCGCCGGACAACATCTTCTCTTCGAAGCCATGTTGCATGTCCAGCCCCAAATCTCCAACACTCTTGGTTGGGTTTGCTTCCGTGCCGACCCACCCGAGCGTGTTGGCTCACCGGTTTTCACGATACCCCGCATGCGGGGCGCCTTCCAGGTTCCGGGCGCTTCAAGCCGCCGCCTCGTCCGGCACAGCCGCAGGGGTCCACATCAGTCACAGGCTTGCCAAGTGGGACGTAGCCAGACACCGTTGCTAGGCTCAGTTTGACTCATGCTGGTCAGGGCATCCTGACCGCAACGCCATTTGGCAGCTGCCAAAGCTGGAGGAACAGAAACCACCACTTAGGTATTTTGCAAAGGTGCCCCGGCTTGCCCTTTCGCAGCAGCTCTGCAAGTTGTTAAGAATGGGTGATGATCAAGTCATCATAATCGTGCGGGGACATGAACGATGCGCAGGTGCGGTCGGCGCTGCGCGAATTACCTCGAAGATCACCTTCCTGGTAAGACATTATGCTGGCAAGACACACTTCTCGTAAACGGCAGCAGATCCTTGTCCAATCCGTCCCTGCTTGAGGCTGCAGGCGGCTCCATGACCAAGGGCGAGCTTCTGCGAGCAGTCAGGTCCTTTGAGCTGAAAGTCTGTCACGCTAAACAGATCAGGGGCCAAGAGCAGCGCAGCCAGAAAGTGCCGTTGCGAAACTTAGATAAGAAAGTCTGACATGCAGAATCCCAGGGCATATTCTATCCAGGCTCTCGGTCTCACCTGAAACCTGAAGAGGCAGGTATGTCTCCAATAGAATCCCAAATAGTTGAATGTTGGGAAATGGGGTTGATGAGACGTACTGGCTTCATGTGGACAACAAGTGCCATAGTGTGCTATCAGGTGTTTTGCCTCAGATTGCTCGTGGGGTGAGCAGCAGCCAACTGTGTTTCTCACAAAGGCATCGCCATAGTTCTGCGTCTTACCGAATCCAGCCTCAACCCTGTAATCAGTGTAATGGGTGCCTGCTTTACTAGACATATGGCTAGATATCCGCAAGAGGCTTGAGTGGTTTTGCCAATCAGTCGTGAGCCTTTTCGACAGAGATGAGTCACATAAGCGTGCAGTTTTTGGGCCTTGACTGTACCGTTTGGACATCTCTTTTTGGTGTGCCCACTTCGTCCCACTACTTCGGGTCACTTGATTTTCGCTCGAGTCCCCCGACCGAGCGCGAGGTCCGTCCGCTGGGCGCTGCGCCAGCGGCGCAGGCGCGGACCAGGCGTGGGCACGTGAGCATTGAGCGCGGGATGGCCAGAGTGCAAGGCTCGGAGTAGGACTTGGCGCTAGGTTTCTAATACCAAGCCTTTCACAGCTTCAGATTGCAAGAGTCACGCGCATAGATGCGCGTGTGACATGGCCAGGCCCTTTCTGGAAGTTGTGCCGCCCAAGGAGGCGCAAAAGGGACTCTCGCGAGCCATTCTTCAGCTGCCTGTTCAAAACGTTTTGTTGTGCGTGAAGCTTAGGGACAGCTGGACAACTGTATTCTTCAGCCTCGGCCATCCCACAATACGTGAAAGCAGGGCCCTAAGCTGCACAGCTTGCTCGCATTGACTCCTCGTCGATCGACTCGCGTTTTTGGTGAGTGGCTGGTGGAGTGTCAGAGGCTCGTGTGCCTTGAGTGGCCGGTGAGTGCGCATGCCAGATCTCTGCAGATGCCTGCCCGCTTTGCAAGCGGCACCTCAGGCGCGCTGAGCAACTTGCACAGACCCAAAGTGGGCATCAGGTAACTTGTTTGAGCACACTTGCCTGGTCTCTAACCATGCACCGGCCAACCGTGCAGGCGGCCACTGTAAGCTGATTTCAGCTGAGCAAGCTCGCCAACTATCTAAGCAACCAGAACCACCCAATCCTGCAACTGGCAGATGACAAGCCAGCCGGGCATCCGAACAGAGAAATGGTTGGTGTGGGTGCGAAAATGTATGTGCACATGCGTGGGGTAAAGCAATGCAGGCACATGTTGCATTAATCTAACACAACGCATCAATTTAATGGCATGTTGGGTCCCAGAACAAAGTTTGGCAAAATCGCTCCGACTCACGACACGTGGCTAAACCCCGGCCCTTGAATTTTCCAGCCAGTGACGGATGCTCCAGATTGAAGCGAACAAGCTGGCAACTGAGCGGGTTGCTCCTCCTCCTTGGGTTTCTTGCTTAGGGCCTAGGATGAACATATTAAGTTAACACAAAGGAAGGCCGATGAACCATACGAGCAGGAACGCGAATTCTGGACTTGGTATAGCTGCGCTGGTTTGCGAGCAAAGCGAAGACATATATACATGTATGTACATTTGCACGCGGAAATGCAGTGTGGGAGGACGGCCAGTGGCCATAGTGGCCCAAGTGTCTATTCGGGCAAGCCCAGTTTCAGAACGCGCGCCAGGTTTATTGGGGTTGGATGTGTGCATCTGACAGTCCTTTTCGTGGCATGTTCCAGAATAGGTGTTTTGACATCCTGCTGATTGGTTGAGCCAGGCTTGCATTTCGCAACATTAACCATATTTCCCAACGCCACGGGGGCATGAAAACAATGAATTTTCCATAGCTCCACACCCGGGACTTGCTGCGCTTCAACCATTGCTTACTTGCAAACATTCCGCCAAACGGCAGCCGATGCCCCGGCATTTTTCATGCGTGCGCACCAGGCAGAAAGACACTGGGTGCATCAGGCGGGGTGATGCCTTGTGTCAGGCGATGCTTGTAAGCACGGAACACTTAAAGCGATTTAGGTATCAGCATGCTTCGGTTGGATGTCTGGGATGGTGAGAGACCTTGCTGCTGATCATCCGGCTCAGGCTACGGACGTGCGGTCACGAAGTGCACGGAAGCTGCTTCAACGCGCTCCCCTGAGTTGTTTTTTTTGTGGGCGCTGCGATGAAGGGAAATGGGGCGCTTATGGTGCAATGTGCATAGTGCGAATTTCAATTCAAGTGTTTACTTGATTTTTAACGTACATTTGGTTACCCGTTCCTTCTGCCAAGTGGACGCGGGATTGGAACTGATGCATTTGTATTTTTTGGGCTGCAAGGAGCTCCTCACCTCCCCGGACCGTTTTCCCAAGACAGCGAGGCCTGGCGAATTGGACTTACTTCAGGGGCATCCACTCCCGCAGTAGCATGCTGATTGTGTCAAGAAGGAACTCACAAGGCCATGCCTGGGAGGTCCACTCTGTTTCTCCCCAATTGAAATGGGATTTTGTGTCCAGGGCCGCATGCCCCAAATGCGGGGAGCGCTGGGCTACGTGGAGGGCTGAGATGTGCTCTATTGCATCCACCAGCTCTGCTTTGGTGGGGACATGCAACCTTCCCACAGAAGAAACTAGGCTCGCCTCAGGGGCACAATGTGGCTGCACACTCAAAAGAACCTGATGCCCACGTCCGCATGGGACACTGGCATGATGGTTGTGTCGCTCCCGAGGTGGGTGCCGGAAGTGAGCCGCCAGATCGACGAGGAGGCACGGCCCTGTCGGGTCGAAATTGAAGTTGAGACCTCCAAAAGAATGTGTCCTCAGTCCTCATACTGGTTTATGGCCCCCAAGAAACTGTGATGGTTTGTGGAGGTCTCAGTATCAACTGTGAGCGGTTAGAGGGAACCACGTAAAGAAAGTGAGGCACTTTGTACGTTGAAACCAACGTGTGACCTTACCTCTGGAGTTTTTGTTCGATGTTGAAATGAGATGTGCAAATTTGAGGCCCTTCTCAAACGCGAGCAGCTCGCCATGCTCTTGGCGCCCGCGTGCCCAGCGGCAAGCAAGCCTCTCGCCAGCCCGCGTTGGCTCGTTGGTTGTGCTATATGCTTTGTTGGGTTTGGTGTTGGTGCTTTTGCTTTGTTCAGAAGGTGTGAATTGGAGTCAAAGCAGGAAGCCCATGTGGTGAAGAGCTGATTATTTCTGGTCATCCGATAAAAATGCCTTGATGACAACTTCAAATGGACGGCTGCGGACTCCTCACTGTGCCGCTTTCGTTCTTTTCGGGCGAGCAACATTTGCCAAGGCAAGGCGTATTTCTCTTAAACAGCAGCCAACGAGACCGCCACAACACATTGCGCGCCTCGCAATGCGCTCCAAGACACCAACTTGATGAGCGCGACGAATATCACCAGTCCTCGCACAAGGAGAGCAGCGCAGCAAAGAAAAGCACGGCAAGCAACGGGCATGTGGCGCTTCGGACACGCCAAGTGCCCCAATGCCGGAGACGGTGGGTTCAACAGCTGTGACCTGATCCGCCGAAAACGAGGAAGGCGCTATGTTCCAGCGACCTGTGGCTACCTGGGCAGAGATCATAACTCCTTCATCAAGGGTTTCTCTTTCCTGATGGGCTTCCCTTTTTGGGGAATCTCGATTCAGCAAATACCGAAGATTCTGACAGTGGGATCCATCGCTTCCGGCCAAGGCTGGGCATGACCTCCAAGGCCACCTGGGGTCAGCACCTCGAGGCTGAGTCGGGAAAGGCCACCGAAAGCGGCTCTTAGAGCGGGAGGTGGCGCTTGCCGGAGGAATGTTTGGAGGGAAAGTCAAAGGTTGCGCCAAATTTCTGGACCACTTTAGCGTGTTCTGCAAGGCAACGTTTACATCAGGGGGCCGCACAGCTTTAGTTTCAGAACTTCAGCGGCACAGAAGCTGATCCTTTAGTCGCCCACTCGCATAGCTATGTTGTACGCTTCTCTTGTATGCTTCAGCACCGCGTTCAGCGAACCTCTGGTGGTGTGGAGGCTGCTGTTGCTGCTCCCAAGTCAACCGACAGGGGCGCAGAAAACCTGCGCCCACCGTCGCGCGCACGCGACGGCTTTGTACAAAGTTGCCCTGGAGGATGCCCGGAGGGCGCTCTGGGGCATAGGAAGCTCTGAGCTGAAAAGCGAGCAGACAGCGCCGCGGTTCGGATTCACGTTGTGACAGCCAGATTGAGAGCTGGGCGCCTGGACCGGTCATGCCTCATGCTCCGAATTGAGCGCTTTGCGATTATTTTGCGTGGTGTTTGCCCTACCCACACAACAGGTCGACTCAAGATGAGCCAGGTATTTCTGCCATACATGGTTTGTCAGCATGGCGAAAGGTGTTGTCAGGTTCGCTTGCCAGGCGGACGATTGATTCACTTGGGGGGAGTTTCTGTCCTGTGCATGTTTTCCCTTTGGAGGTTATTTTTGTGTTGTTTGTTGCTTTTCTCCTGGCTGGCTTTTGTGGCTTTTGTGGCTTTTGTGGCCTTTTCGTGGTTTTGTGGCTTTGGCTTTCCGCATCCTCAGCATCACCAGGAACACCCCCAGCACCACCGGCTTTTGGCTCTCTGGCCTTTGGTTTGGTGGCTTCTTGGCTCCCAGGTTCCTGTTGCGTTGGCTCCTTGGCTTTTGGAACCGCTTAGAGCACCTGGTTTGAAATCGCGCACTTTCTCAAATACCTGGGACCCTTTCCCTTTCCCTCGTACCATGCCTGTTTATCTTAGAATCAGGCAACTTTTGCGATAGATCTTGGCTTGCTCAGTACCAGCTCCACGAGTCCGCACCGGCTGAGGCTGGCAGCTTTTATGGCAGCACAAGGGGTGAGGCATAGCCATCAAATGCCTTCGCACACTCGCAGCTTCAACCACAGCCATTCTTTAGCGGATAGCCAGCAAGCCTAGTTCTATGTCTGATGTGTCTGTGGCATTTTCAGAGACCCTGGATTGCACATCCACACCTTCTTAGGCTGAGTTTTGGCAAGGACAGATCAAGCAAGACATGCACTTCGCTCTCACCAGCTTTGCTTGCTAAGGCAGTTTCCACAACGGAGAAAAACGTGCGCGTTTTGTGTAGTACGCCGCGCAAATTGAAAGCGATTGCTCGGGACAGACGTGCAAACTTAGTTTGCACGTCCGGGCCGGAAGCAGCGCGCAATGGGAACCTTGCAGCAGGACGGACAATACAACTCACCTTCCCGTAGAATCATAGCCCCGCAGCAACTCTGAAAGCCGCATTTGTTTGATGCCCCCCATGTTCTTGCTGCAGGGGCCAAGCGTTTATGGGCCAACGAAGCCTCATGTTCAAGGAGGGAATCATGGTTTCACTCTTGACCATTTCTTTGGGCAACGTTCCGTGCCGGTGCATCACATTGTTCAGAGTTTATTGGGACTGCTCTTCATGGTTTCTATGCCACCATGCTTATGCGCTCATCCCTCATCATGACTATCCTCATCCTTATCATCCTCTCATCCTCCTCACCCTCCTCATCCTCATCCATCCTCCTCCGTATCCTCCTCATCCTCATCCTCATTAACATCGCAGTCAAAATCATGAGCAGCAGCCCTCGAATAATGTGGAATGTTGCTGTCAGTAGCATACTCTTCATTTGTCGGAGAGGGTGTTGCAAGCAGGTTGTTTCCCTCTTGCAGGTTGCAGTGATTGGTGGCGCCTACCTGATCTTTATCGCCTTCCTAGGCATGTGCAGTTGTCAGTTTTCAGCTCGGCTTCTTTGCCCAGTTATCAATTGATTGCTTACAGGCTGCAGTGTTTGAGCGTGTGAAGCACACGCGAGTCTGTGGCCCATGCCACCCACAGCGATCAGAACACACAACTTTCTACTTTCCATCTTCAGGTGCCAGGACAAGCAAATCTTGCCATCCTCCCAAGGGATTAGGTGAAGCCCGATGCAGAAAGCCAATATCAACATTCTCAAAACCAAGTTGGTTCACATCCTAACGAATGCTGTGGGAGACCCTTATCCTGGAACCGGTACGGGATTCAACCCCTAAACAGAAGCTGCTTCAGAAACTCGATACTTATTTATTTTGGCAAGCTGTTGACCAACTGCTTTAGGAAACTAGATGCTTAAGGAATCCAATGCCTCAGGAAGCAACATTGGACATATGGGTGTGGCTCAAAAATTAAACAGTTACGCGGGGGTTGGTCCATGTTTCCACTTACCAGGGTTCCGTTTTGGTACCGGGTTTTTGAGCCACAGCCGTATTGACACTGATACGAACAACTAGATGAATCAGCTGCTCAGAATACCTATATTGATAATCTCCCGGCCACCTTGGTGGATCTGATGCTTTCGGAATTCAAAGTTCACAGTACCGACCCCCTCCCAACCAACTTGGCAATTCTTAAGGCCGACACTTTGTGAAACCCAGTCGACCAACTTGGGTGTAACCTCGGCTTTAGGAATCCAATGATGGAGCCTCCAGGTCAGGATTTTGGAGGCACCCTGAGATGGGCTTGGTATCAGCCAGCGCAGGCTTCGTTTGGTGGGCGGCCTGGCGGCTTTCGCTATCAAAGGCGCAAAGGGGTTGAGAGCCGCTCTCAGATCATAGTCGCCGATTTGGACGCACCTGTCAGGTGCCATTGTTGCGCGAGTGCATCGGCGGCGACGGAAAGTCCAACCCCAAGACAGCTCAAGAGAAAGAGATCGGGAATAGAGGTAGGGTACCCTCGAAGATTGGCACCAAGATGCCTCCGCCCACTTCTCCGCTCATCATCCGAAAGACGGTCGCATGATTCCAAAGTGCGGTCTCAAAGGGTCTCATGCGCTGAACATGTCCTGTACGGGGATCAGTATTGTGGTCATGCACTTGTCTTGACTCTGCTTGCACGGTAGCCTGGCAGGGCACAAGCGGTTCCTGCCGCCAGCGGGGATTTGAATGCGGGAATCTTAGTCGGCATGTTGCGGAGCTCAGTCTGTGGTTCTGGCACGGAAAGCCACAAGATAGAGAACACGCTACAGTGAACGTATGTGGCCTCGACTAGCACCTTGAGGAGGTCCATTTGTGCCCACTTGGGCCCTGTGTCTGAACCGGCAAACTGTTTTTCAAGCTGCACCCAAGGAGCGCCGGGATCCCCGGGTGCGGCGAGACGCAGCGGAGCGAAAAGCGCGAGGTGTGTCGTTGGCATGATGTCAAAAATTCGGGGCTTCCTTTGGTGGGTGTGATGGAATGCAGGCTCCGATACATTCCCTCCAACCGTTCCAAGAAGCGGTTGAAACCAGAGTATGGCTTGGCTTGTTTGGCAGCCAAATGGTTGCTTCAGTGCCATTTGACTTTCATTGATTTCTGAACAACGCAAGCAACACGGCCACTAGCAGTCATACATTGCAGTACTTTGCACATGGCTCTCTGTGCCGTCGGCCCATACGCCACACAGTTGGCTGACATGGCACGTTTGATGCACGCAACCAACCAGCTTCACAAAGGCAGCGGTTTGCACTCAAGCAGTCGTTCAAGCTAAATGAGCTCATGTTTGCTGTGCACCCATCGGGCGCGTAGGAATCAATCGCGCAGAGCGGCACTGCGAATCGAAGCCCCTAATGCACACCAGCTAGCAGGCTGTACGGGGCTAAAAAAGCTATGATGGACCGGACATAGATAGGTCCATGGAAGATGACGGCGGGTGACGAAGATTCCGTCAATGAGGATGAGGAGGAGGAAGAAGAGGAGGCCGGGTCCTGGTTCGACGGGCCGTGTGGCTGACCCTAGGTTTTCTGGCCAGATATCGCTTCGCACAATTCCTCACATTGAACTTTGCGAGCAGTTAGCACTTAAAGCAACAGGTGGCGTTTCCTCCCACTAAAGTAGAGTTTGCGGGGTACCTGGAAGATCAACTTCCTCTTGACGGGGTTTTTTGCCATGTGCCATGTTCGCGGAGAGAGGGGGTAAACACACTTTACCCAAGGGCTCTGCCCACGTTTTTGCCACCACCTCACTGCCATCGCGTGGATCGCGCCTGGTTGCTATGGCCGCTTTGAGGGCACCGCTGAGGTGAGCCACACTCAAATCCCAGGTAGATGAAGGTTAGTAAGGGACGATCCCAACCACAAATAGCTGCGGCCGCCTTAATTCTTTACATGGTTCTGGGTGAGCCATTTTTGTACCGGGTTTTAATTATGACTCAGGCCTGGCCACGTCTCAGCCGGGTCTCAGCCGGCGCAGGTCTGGGCGTGCCTGGGCCCGGCGGACCTGGAGGCGGACCTCGCGGCGGCGGAGCCGCAGGCCGCGGAGCTGCGGCGCAGCCTGGAGGTGGCGCCTGGGCGAGCGGCGCGCGAGAGGTTTGGGGCGGGGAGCTGAGGTCCGGAAAAGGGGGGGCTCGTCTTTTTGGAGGGAAAGGAACCCCAAGAGGGGTGTTCCTGTGGGTCAATTTTTCAGGGAAGCCTTTTTTGGGGTTAGGGGAAACCAAGAGGAAGACCAAGATAACTCTTGGAATTTTGTGGGGTGTTCCTGTCTTAAGACAAACCCAGTTCATAGAAAATGCCGCATGCCCAAAGTTCTCAATGCTCAAAGTCCAAACAAAATGCATTGATTTCCCCCGAGACCAAAGTAGCGGAAGTTAGGGGAGCCTTTTCACTCAACAAAGGGACATCAAGCCCAAGCCAAGCAGAATCCAGCATAGCCGAAACAATACAAACAACATACCTGAGCAAACGTATTTCAGCTCGCCCGCTTGGCCGAAGATCGAAGACCCAAGAAGTGCTGCTAATGGTTCCAGAGGATCTTTTGTGGCGGTGGGGGGAGGGGGGGGGGGGTTTTAGGGGGAAGGGATGGGATTAATGTGCCCCTGCTTGGTTCCTCCCACATTGCCAAGATGGTGTTTCTGCTGAGAAGCAGCATTGAGCACTTCTTGTGCCAGCCAAGGATATTGACTTCTTCACTGCCAGACATGCCGCAGATCGGAAGATGGCATCAGGTGCGCCGCAGAAGTTGCGTGTTTAAGCAGGGGAGTTCTGCTCAATGGACAAAGCTAGCAGGGACGCATTCAACAAGGGGCAGGATTGGGCGCTTGGGGAATGTGGCCTTCTTTCAGGCAATTGGATCTCCCCGACCCGTAGTCTCGACACGAAACCAATTGATAAAGACCTGACGTCCGTAGCGAGTCATAGTCGCTCGTTGCCGGAAAGTCGCTTGCGCTGGGTTTTTTGTTGTAACCCGCGGAAACCCTACATAAGTAACCCTACATGGGTAACCCTACACGGGTGTGTTTCTTTCTGTTTTTTGTTTCCCTTCGGTTTCCCTTTGAACCAATCCCCAAAACGGGTTTCTCCATGCAAGAGCCAGTCAGCCAGGGCTGCAGCGGCTCTGCGCGGAGGCGGAGCTGCTTCAGTTCAACCTGGCCTCCATGGCCGGGGGCCCAAAGATCGAAGCGCCGGCCGGGCGCTTCGGGCGGGGGGAGGAGCGCTTCGCCAGAGTTGGCAAGTCCGCAGCCTCCTGTTTGTGCCAAACGGTTTCCTGGGCACTTCAACAAATCGAACCCCGAGCCAAACTGCCAGGGGCTACAGATGGCTTTTGCTTTCGGAACAGTTCCTGGGTCAGCTTTGTATGCTCCGCTCGTGACCAAACTTCAAAGACAATCAACCTTGGTACCTTGGGTATATAGCTTAGAGAATTGGAATTCAATCCAGAGGACGCAGGGCCGAGATCTTGGACAGCGCGATGCAACTCGTGTCCACGTCGCAAAACCCGTTCAGAACAACGATGAGGTTTCCGAAATTGTGGGCACTTCTAAAGAAACGCCGGTACACCAAAAAACAGGAGGCGCGCTTGGACAGCCGATGTGCGGGCATTGCGTTGGTAGGGGCCTCCTCGATGTAGCGAAGTGGCTTTATGAAGCGCAGCTTTGTATTGGTCATATTGGTTGTATTGGTTGGCTCGGTGTTTATGTCAATGCGGTTTTGCATGGAACCAGCTCGATATCAGCGCTGTGCTGGAAGTCTGCTCAGTTTTTAAGTGCAGGAGCAATTGTTGTGAGCAGAGGATGTCTCAGGCTTGGTATGCTGAACTTCCCATGGCAGAGTGCGCCCCATCCCTCTGGCTTGCTGACTTTTGGAACGCGCTCCGTGTGGGAGCTTTTGGTTTCTTTCCTTCATTCCTTCATTATTTCCTTCATTCCTTCTTTCTTTCCTTCTTTATTTGTTTCTTTCTTTCTTTGTTTGTTCGTGTTGCGGGCGGGTTGTTTGAAAGATTCGCCATTGCCAAGCGGGGCGCTTGAGGTCGCGAAGGTGGCCCACGGCCCCTTGGCTCCCGGCCCAGCCTCCTGGGGCCCGGGATCCGACGTCTTCGGCCCCGAGGCCCAGGCGAGGCGGCGGTCCGAAGAAGGACACGCGGGGCATTAGCCGGGCATTAGCTCCGGACGGGGCACCTGTTTCAGCGGGAAAACTGAAGGTGCAGGGCTTAAGAACGGAAGCGTTCATGCAGGATGTGGTCTGCTTGTGATCATGGGTTTGTCACGGTGGCTCATAGGTTGATTGTTGTCGGGTATTTCTGTTAACATGCAAGCTTTTCTCGGCGCCGGGGAACTCAACTTGCACGGAGCCGTGGCACGCTAGGTGTTTGCCATGGCTCGATACCTTGTTAGAGGACCCATTCATGCTTTGATCTTTTCGGCAATGGCTCACAACTTCACCATGTTTCCATTGGCAGCTTGGAGCGCACGTTTGCTGATCCACCAACAGGCAATCAAAAGGATGCAGTCCTTGGACCGAAGCCGCCTTGTACTAGTTCAGTGGCTAGACCAGAGAATCCAAACATGGACAACATTCGCTCCAGACGGCTGAACACTGGCAACCAGCGCTGGAAGAGTGCTGCCCCTTTCAGGAGCAGAGTTGAACGATTTTGTGCATGGTTCCCAAAGTTATTGTTGTTTTTGTGGGGGAAATATATACTGTTGTGCCTGGCGGCACTTTTGGCACTGTTAAACAACCAGGACAAAGACTCCAGCCAGAACAAAAGAAACACAAACAAACAGTACCACACCAACTGGTATTTGAGTCCTTTCCAGGGGCCCTTTTTGGATGCGTGGGGCAGGTGCCGCTTCCCTCACTGTCCCTGGCCGTGCCGGGCGGCTCGGGCCTTGCGGAGTACCTCGAGCGCCTGGCAGCGCTGCCTCGGTGTGTGGCGGTGGCGCGTGCCTCGGTGCCAGTTTTGGCTGGGGGTCAAAACCAATGGGATCCCATTTTGGTTGGTAGGTGAGTTGATGTTCACTGGGGGTACGGGAGTTTGACCCATGGCCACTTTTGAGGTGGCGGGTTTCTCCAAGGAATCGGCTGGCGGGCTTCTGTTTGGTGCCCTTTGAACCAAAAACCGGGGGTGGGGGGGACCATGTTTGAGAAACTCCCAAAAAGTTGGCTTGGCCAAAGTGAGAAAACAGCGGCTCCCTGCATTCATGAAGGCACAACCCCCTCGCTGGGTGCTGACAGCCTCCTTTTTGTGCTCCTTTCTCCGAACGACTGTTAGCTTTCTTCTCCAGAAAGGAGACATGAAAGTGACGCCAAAAGATGTGAAGTAAGATCAGATCATGTACACAGCAGCAACACTAGTTAAGAATTTGGCGTTGAATGATCTCCGAGCCGCATCTACGTGCTAACATGTTTCCTCACAGGTCGACTGACCAATTGGTGATTGATGCATTTTCGTGGATTTGGTATTCAATCCATTTTGAACCTCTTCGGGTTTGGCTCAAAATTCAGAGCTGCGGGTTGGGTGGGGGGGAGGGGACCTGGCCGCAGGCGACTTGCACTTCGCCGCCTCCAAGCTGGACGTGCGCCAGGACGAGAAGGACATCAACCGCGACCGCCTGGAGGTGAACGGCGTGGAGGTCTTCGGAGCTCAGGCGGAGGGCGCTTTGCGGCCTAAAGAACTTTGGGGGATTCTTGGAAGTCAACGCTTTCCCCTGTTGCCTCAGGCGACTCATGTTGCCCCTAGAACATTTTGGGAAGTGTTTCTTCAGACGTTTGCCATGTCCACACTTTTTGTCCTGTCAGATTGATAGGTCAGTCGATTACACGACCCGAGAATGGTCACCTCCGCAGTCTCCCGGCTTCTGTTCTTGCAAAAGCTTCCTGCGTCTCAACCAACGAATCTCAGCTCGGACAGGCATTCGCACCTCGAGTTTGAGGTACCTCCATTCTAATCAGCAGAGCGTTCTCAACTGTTCGCAAAAAGGGACGCACAAATGTTTAATCCAGTTCTCAGGGCTCTCAAACCTCTCTCGACCTCTGTTTGACATCTATGCCACTCGATGGGAGTCTCCCGCGTTTGGCGCTTGGCGCTTGCGCCCAGGGCGGCTACCAGGCAGCTGTGGCGGCCGTTGTTGGGGCGCTGCGTGCAGGGGATGCGGCGGCCGGGCTGCCGGCCTGGGGCGAGGAGGCCACCTGCGCGGCGCAGCTCCTGCTGAGCAACTTGAACCGCGCCTCGGGTGGAAGGCGTATTGGCCGTGAGTTTTACGTGGGGACCTGTTCTTCAAGTTGGGAACACACGCAGCGCAACAAACGATTGGGGAGTAGACGGTAGTAGACATGAGTTCCGTTTGTCCCTCTACAGGTCCCTAAACTTTCATCATGCATGCCAACATGCTACGTCAGCATAAAGAATAAGACACACTTTGACCGGTGTTCATGAATATTTCCAATTTTCCCTTACTTTCCTTTTTCACGTGGCGCAAAAGGCTTTGCAGGGATCGAGCCTTGTCACGAAAGCTAGCTTTAGCTAGCTGAAGTTTCTCCTTGCGTAAGCAAGGTAAGGGGCTCAACTGCCGAAAGATTGATTTTTTCAATTATTTGAGCCGAAAAGATTGAACAAATCAATTATTTAGCCCCCCCCCCCCCCATCTCAGGCTCGATTCCTCCTTGGTCCACCCCTCCCCCCGGGCAGTGGCTCAGTGTTTCAGCAGTCTCGGTTTGCCCGTTTTGGACTTGGTGCTACGAACTTTTACATGTTCCACCGATTCAGCTTGTTCATTTGAGACCTCAGTCTTCTCAGTAAACCACCTCGCAAGAATCTTTGCACACGCAGCATGCAGAACCCAGAGGTGCTTTAAGACAGCTTCTGACGCCTCTCGTTGTTTTCATTTTTCAAGGTTTGCCACGCCACCATGTGCGTTTGCGTGTCGCATCCTACGAATCTTGCCGGGCCTCTCGTTGTACACAAGCTACCTATGAATCCACTCTGTCACCGACCCATCTCATGCAACAACTGCTAGCTTTCGTTCACCCGCTCCTCAAGTCATTGCAAAGCAAATATGCGTTGCTTAAGACTAAGAAGTCGGTTCTTGGGCCATCCGCTGCTGAACGTCGTCGTCGCGAGGGAAAAACACCAAAACACACAATGACTGCATTCCTCCATCGCTTGGATCGATACGTTTCTAGGTTAGAATTGCCGGCCACGCATCTACCATTGATCCGCCGGTCAAAGGCCTTCACGGCTTATCTCCACGTGATGGGAGATGCTTCCAAGCCCCAACCTTGGCTTTCCGCCCCTCTGCGACCTTGAGGCATGTCAGGTTCCCTAAACTTGAAGGAGCCAATAGCACGGGGATTTGGGCATCCGAAAGCCGCGGTTGGGAGGGACCACCTCCGGCTTTGTGGCCTTCGAGGAGATCCTGAAGCCGGGGGCCCCAAGCGGACACCGGGCGGGCAGAAACCGCTTGCTATATTTGCTATGACGTTTTGGGGTTCGGTCAGATGCATTTTCTTAATGGCGGCGACCAGCTGGTCATGGCATCCGTTCGATTCAGTTTGCCGTCTGAGCGCCAAGATCATCAAGGAGGTCAGCCTTGTGAGGTAGGCCGAAAGAAGCACACACATCGAACAGAAGGACGCATTGTAGAGCTTGGCGCCACAGGCAGATTCCTAGTATCAGTTGGTCTTAGGCAAGCACTAGTAGTTGCCAAAGTTCTTTTGAGTCTTTTGGTCCTTCTAGGATTCCACCTGGTGGAGTCTCAAAGCGCTTATCATCCGCGGATTGATGGGAAGGTCTCAAGTTCCAGCCAGGTTTACATCATGGTTGCCTTGTTCAGCCCTGAACCCAAGACAGAGATGTATGCTGTTTAGTGTCGATGACACGGCGCGGGTCAACAAGCACGCACATGTACCATTTCCCCTTTCTCATCACTTCCCCCGATGTGCCGGCCATTTTTTTTTGCGGGACTTTGGCTGGCTGACGCATCACTTCAGTTGGCCTTGAGGTGCACTCAAAGTGTGTTTGCTCGCACCAGGCAACGCAAGGGCATCCATTTGCGAGAAGGGAGCGGAAAGCATCGATGTGGCTGATTCGCTAACCATTGCAAGCAGTTGAAACGCCAACTTGGCATCGTGCTTGGGGCATCAGCTGCTGTCAACGTCCCAATATGGCAACCAGCGCTCAGCGCGGCCAAGACCGCTGCAGGTTGCTGGACAGCCCGGAGGTCGTCATCTCCCCCGAGAGCGCCAAAGCAAGGCCTTTGGAGGCCGCGCTCACCGGGGGCGTGGCCCTAGCTCGCGCCCACACGCGCCGAGGCCTTGGAGAGCTTGAGGGTTGAGGTGTGAGATGCAAAAGTGCACCATCCTCACTGATTTTTTTCGCATGGAAGCAAAGGACACAACCAGGAAGAAACGTGGCAAAGAGCACACTGACACATTCTCGGACCGAGGCTACGCAGTGCACCGCGCGGAGGGCGGGCGCCTGGCGGCCTTTGATGTCTTCGTGTGCTTCCGGGTGGCTTCCACTGCGCTGCGGCAGCTGGCAGCGGGCGCCGAGCTGCAGGCGGGCGGCGGGACTGTGCGGAGGGGCTTGCGGGTGGCGAAGTGACGGCGCTGGCAGGAAGTAGCTTTTGGGATATTTGTGCAAGGGACTATACTTCGGGGAAATGCGAGAGGATGTGGTTGACACATTGTTTGACTGAGGGGATGCTCAGAACAGCAATCTAAGCAAGATCGGGGACTTCTCCACGCGCTCTTGAAGCATGAAGCGCCACCAGATCAGATGCGAATTGTTGAGCCACGGAGTGGCCTTGCAAGAGGTGTCCCTCCGCTGTCTTGCCCGGAGAGGGGGCTTTGCCAAATGGATGCTTTCTTCGGGACTATTCGTAGGACATTGCTTTTTGCATGCCTAGTTGTTGGACTTGCCCTGTCTGGGAGGCAAGGCGTGATATCAGCATGAAGCAGGGTGCTTTGGTATATTTTGGTATTGGATCCATTGTTTAGCTTGCTTGAATAGTAGTATCTTCGGGAAGTTGACCATGCACCTGGCACGAACTCAGATCAAATCCATGCTAGATTGTTTGCGCCCTGTGCCCTGTAGACCCGAGGAGCGGTCATCAAGCATAAGCAGTCGGGGCATGTTTGCTATAGAGTTTCTTCATGAGCTGCCCGCCGGATTTTCATCGTTCTGGGTTCTGTGAAGCGTTGCGAGGTGCCAGCGCGCGTCTTGATCTACAGGCCAGGCGAAATTCATGGATTTCATGACTGAGCAGGACTCATTCTGCTGTGTGGTCGCTGCTTCAGGTTGCATTCTTGCGAAGGACTGCCAGCAGGAGCGTTTGGGGGGCCATGACTTCACGTCTAAAGTGGAGCCTTTGAAGGAATACATTGCACAAAAGAACAACACATGTATCCTGACTTCTGCAGGTCGGAGGCTGATCCATGATGCTGCCTCAGCACAAGAGAAAAAGCAAATAGGCAGATGGTGCGCGGGGTATCAGCTGGACTATTCATGGAGCTTTAAAACAAAGAAGGGAGATTACGAACAGACTTGGGGACTTGGCCTTCGAGTGGTACCTTTTCGGGTAGGCTTGGGGTGAAATATGTAGGCGAGGTGGTTTCGAGTACTTTGGGAGGGACCCCATCCGATGCACACCACCGATCTCCTCAATCGGTGCGGTAGTCTCACCCCACAATTGGTTGAGACGTAAAAGCAGTTTGGTTGCGCTGGCTCAAAGCTATAGGCATGAACTAGGTGTCCACGTTTGCATCAGTCGTCGCAATAATAATCCCGAGGGTCCGCTCGCAGCATCAACGAGCATATCAGCCATTTGGGGCAAACTTTGCAAAGCGCACGGCAAAGCCAGGCTCACAACCAAAGAGCCATCGCCTCTGTTTGCGCTTCTGAGATGGCCATGCGCCTTCCGTTGCTGGCCGCCCTTTTGCACCCGGCGCTGGGCACAGGCGAGTTAACCGAGGCGCGCAGGTCGCTGTGGTTTGGGCAGGAGTCAGATGAGGTGCAGGGTGTGATCAGGACACGGAACGACCAGTCTTGGGGCGGGCAAAATTTGCGGCTGAGCACTTGACGACTTTCATTGGTCTAACTTGATTGGACATCAGCAAAGATGAAGTGGCAGCAGGGGGAGGTTGGATTTGAGGAGCTCCAAAGAGCGGGCCGAAAGAAACTGTGCATGAGCTTCGAATTGTCACCTGGCCAGGTCATCATTGGCAGCAGCTATGAAATTGGGCACAAGTGCGTCAAGCCAGCAGGAGGGATGCTGATTCGAACCAATGCTGGCTACTCAATCGGAATGGCCGAGGTTGGCAACTAGTCGAGGTGATTTGCATATTGGTCTTGGCGCTCCTTAACGGTTGGTGAATATCAATATGTACATTTGATAATAGAATGGGCTAACACCCGGGTGAAGCTGACCCCTTTGTTTTGCTCAGTGCCTTCAAAATGGGAAAGCGCAGTGGCCAACCTCAGCACGCTCAAATGTCCTGACTCTAAACTAGCCAGCCAGCCAACCCTCGACCAAGGAGCCAACCTTGAACTGACCCGGAACCAACCCCCGCCCCACAAGGGGGGGGAGGGGGACCCACATACACACATATATGTATATTACTATATATATATATATACATATGTAGACAGAGATCTATATTCATGTATATGCGACGTGTTTCAGCGCATGCAGAACCGTGCGCGCCTTGGCAGCTGCAATCAACGGCAGCGTTCGGCCAAGGGTAGGGTATAGACATGGTGGAGCAGGATATGAGGGACTCAGCTCCCCAGGACAGCCCGCTCCATAGTTTTCCCGTCTAGTATGGGACATACCATAGTTTGACCGTAACTCCTGTGAGGACGGGCTGGAATGCTGTCGGTCAGGGGGCGACAGGGAAGCCCGCAGCACAAGACAAGAGCCAGCATCTGTCATCCACACGTTTTGGGGCTTGCTGATCACAGGTGGTTGAATTTGCTCACTGAGCCTACCACATTGAATGTTGCCCCCTGACATCAGCTTGATTCGCTTCTCGTACAGGGCAACGAGTGATGATTCTCCCGCCCCACCTGTGGAAGGAGCGGTGCACTGCCCCTCGCGGCTGTCGGGCATCGGGCACCTTCCAGACGAGTTCGATATCTACCAGCTGCCAAGCGGTGAGGCTGGGGGGGGGCCCGCTTGCTGGGAGAGATAGCACGGCTGAGCACGGATTGCTCCCACGTGTGGGGTGGCGAAGCTAAAGGCGGGTTGTTTTGGCCCCACGGTTGGATCGTTTTTCGCCGGGGTTCCACGGTATACAAAGTCGGGGCAAGCCCCGTTCGCGTTTGGTGTTGGGGGGTGCACGTGATCCAACATGTGGGGCTAAGATGGTACGGATGCTACGGCAACGGTCGCAATCACATTTTTCCAGACCAAAGGTATGACGACCGTTTGCTATGAGCATGACAGAAGCCATAGATTTTGCATGATTTCGCAGTGCCATTCAAGAAAGAACTTAAAAGGCGGCGACATGCAGCCATCATTTGGAGAATCAACTTGGAAACGCACTTGCACGCAGCAAGATCCCCCCCCGTTCCGAAGGGGCACGAAAGTTGCTCGGAGAAAAAGAAACGGCACGTGTCAATGTTGGCTTATCTCAACAAATTGGGCTGGGGCGAAAGTGATCCGCGGAGGTGGGCCTGCCTGTGGTCGTTTGTTGCTTGCCGCATGCTCGGTTTTGATCCGGCGCCGAAAGTGATCCAATTTCAGTGGAGAAGTTTGACTTTCCTCTATGCTTCAGCACTCCCAGGTCGAACGTGATCCCAAATTAGGGGGCCGTCGCCTCGGGCCTTTGGTTTGGTTTGGGAGTGAAAGTCCAAAACTTGGGCGAAAGATCCTTCTCCCACTTGGGAGAAGTTGGACAACTCCTCATGTTCGGATGGGAGAGCGGTCATCCAATCCTACATACCCGACCTGAGCCAGTCAGCCATGTGTACTGGTTTCGTTTCCCCTTCCCCAAATGCGGGAATGTTGAGAGGTTATAGACTGAACAACACGTCTGGAAGTCGCAAGATGATGGATGGGTCAGAACTGTCGTGGGAAAAAGATCTCTGAGCCTCAGGTGTGCGCAAAGCGCACTGACTACCATGGCGGCTGGAGCGTGCACGTGCGCGTGAAGTGCCGGAAAGCCTCCGACTGGGAAGGAGCAGGAGGAGGAGAGATTGCGTGCGAGCATTCAGATTACAAGTGAAATGCAAGCAGGCTGCCAGCTCATTTTTCTCGGCTTTTATGATTTTGATTTGCACTCGTCCACAAGATGTATAGCTTTGTTAAGGATAAAACCTGATCACCTGAAAACGGTGATTTGTACAAGGCTGCCTCCCCTCTTATGTTTCCCCACTAGCATTTGTGTGGCCAAGCGTCTCTTCAAGCGACTGTGATTGACAAACAAGCCAGAAGAACCAGCGGAAGAACTAGTATGTCGCTTTCCGCTCTGCGTGGCGCTTTCTGTTTTCAAAGATGAGGAATATGAGGACTTTGAAGACAGTCAAAACTGCGACGCTGTCATGGATTCCTGCGTTTGTTTGCTTGACGTTTCCTGGCTTCTCACTGGTTTTGCTCACATCATGCATCTTCCTGGGGGAAGTCATCCGTTCTTGTTTTGAAAGAACACAGTGGCACACAAAGCCCAGGGATGTTGGGCCATTTACAGTCAATGTACATTGAACGATACCCTTGAAAGCGCAGCGTTCTCTTTCCTTATAGGAAGCACAGAGACGCTTTTTCTAGCTGCCGCGCTTCGCCGGAATTATTTGGAGGCAGAACATTGGCACCTGCAGAGGGTCCCAAAAAAAGCAAAGGGTAGCTAGACCAAAGTTAATGACTGCCGTGCCGCAAACGAACTGAACATGTCACGACACTCCAGCTCCTGGAACCAGTCCCATGGCTTCTGTCCGCGTGAGAGCCACACTGAAAGCGCTGCAACATACGCGACATTCGGCATGTAGGCAGATGGAATGCACTCATAGCCATTGCCCCTTTCCCCAAAGAAAGAACACACATGAGCAAGGAAAACGACAACATGAGAGGATCCTCCGCAAGAAACACCACCCTATCAGAACAACTGGGGTGTACCTTCTTGCATTCGTTCGTCAAGTCATGTTCAGTGCCCCGCAGGCGAGCACCTACAGGTTGACATTGGAACCAACCCGGACTCAGCCTTGAAGTGCGTAGCAGACCCCGGCCACGTGGACTGTGACGACACTGTTGAGCAGATCGGTCGCACTGGAGAATGGCCCGACAAGTTCCACATCTACCATGAGGGCGCACAGATGCTTAGCCCGCACAGAGGTTGTAACATCAGATATGTGCGGACAGCATGAATCTTCGAGCATTGAAGAAGGGTTTGTGCTAGGCACAAACTGCAGGAAGCCGTGTAACCGGCAAAATGCAAAGGCGTATCATCAGCAGGATGTGGTGCGCTCATGACATTTTTACGTGCAATGTTGTGCATGAAGTGGCCCGGGTGAACGCATGAAGTAATTAGCAACCACAACTTCTTTGCGCGAACGCGGAGACATCGAGTCTGAGATGGAGATATTGGGGCTAAACTTTGGGCGCACCAAGGATCTGTGCCCGTCGGGTCGATCACGATGGTGGTTGGGGCTTGAATTTGATCTTGCAATGCAGACCCAGAAGGGCTTTTGCTGGAGGCGGGATTCGTTTCATGTGCAACCGGGCTGCAGTCAGTGGCTGAAGGAGGTGGAAGAGGGGTGCAATGCACACTTAGACTTAGACTTGCAGATATTTGCAGACCAAATTGGGTGTCTCGCCAACTGTTGTAGGGCTTGTTGGCAGCTTGTCGCCGGCTTGGCACATTGCCTTCTAACCTACAAGTGTGTGCCCTGCAGGCGCGCACGTCCAGATCGGAACCAGCCCGGACTCAGCGGTCAAATGCGTAGCAGACCCCGGCCACGTGCACTGCGACGACACTGCAGAGCAGGTCGGTCGCACCGGCGAATGGCCTGACACCTTCCACATCTACCATGACGGCACACAGATGCTTTGCTTGCATCAAGTGGGTATTCTAGGCAGGCATGAGCAAGCAGCACCATGCAGCAAGACAGTCAAGCAGACAAATGAGTTTTCCTGTTGAATCTGACGAGTAAAAGGCTTTCGTGGTTCCAAGTTCGGAACCTACCTATTTGCAACAATTATTCCATTGTTTCACTGTTTCGTTTGTTGACTTGTTTACTTTTTGGAGCGTTGTTCGTTTATCTGACACACGCACCATTCAAGCAAAGGATCTGCGCGCAGCGGACGGATTTTGACGGCGGCTGGGGTCTGGACCTGGTGCTAGACTGCCGATCGAATGGCGGCGGTGGCTTCGGCGGCTCTGGCTCGAACAGTGGCTCCGGCAGCGGCGGCTCTGGCTCCGGTGGAGGTGCGGTTGCATTCACGACAAGTTGTGAGATCAAGGGGTTTATCCCCACTGTGATACAAGGGAATCTCCCCCTTATGGGGGGTTAGTTTTTGGGAAGCCCTTTTTGTTGTATCACAGAAGTGGTCATTTCCCACGGCCCTGTTCACGACCCTTGTTTTTGTCAGTTTCATGCTCTCGCAAGTGCTCAAAGTTCTGCAAATGTGCGTTCTGCAGGCACAGGGGTGCACATCGAGATTGGAACCAGCCCGGACTCGGCTGAGAAGTGCGTAGCCGACCCTGGTCACGTGCACTGTGATGACACTGCGGAGCAGGTCGGTCGCACCGGCGAATGGCCTGACACCTTCCACATCTACCACGCCGACACACAGATGCTTTGCTTGAGCTCTCCCCAGCGGCAGTAGGAGTACAAGGAGTAGACGCAATAGGAGTGGAGGCAGAAGTAAGAGACAAAGTAGAACTACCAGAAGCAGAAGTACGGATATCTGTCGTGGGGGTTGGGATTACACACTGTTCCTTGCTACCTGTTGTCATGTATTTACCGATTCATTCAGTTGATGTGTCCGTTTGTTTGCTTGTTCATTCAATTGTTTGCTGTTTGTGTGTTTGTTTGTTTGTTTGCTTCATTTGTTAGTTTGTCAGTCCGATTGTTCGTTCTAAGTGAATGAATGAATGAATGAATGAATGAATGAATGAATGAATGAGTGAGTGAGTGAGTGAGTGAGTGAGTGAGTGAGTGAGTGAGTGAGTGAGTGAGTGAAATGACATGCAGTAAAATGAAATGAAATGACATGAAATGACATGACATGAAATGACATGACATGAAATGACATGACATGAAATGAAATGAAACGAAGCGAAAGGAAAGGAAAGGAAAGGAAAAAGGAAAGGAACGGAAAGGAAAGGAATGGAATGGCATGGGATGAATGAAGGAACGAACGAACGAACGAATGAACGAACGAACGAATGCATGCATGCATGGATGGATGGATGGATGAGGAAAGGAAGGAAGGAAGGAAGGAAGGAAGGAAGGAAGGAAGGAAGGAAGGAAGGAAGGAAGGAAGGAAGGAAGGAAGGAACGAACCTCACTCACTCACTCACCCATTCATTCATTCATTCATGCATGCATGCATGCATTCGTTCATTCATTCATTCATTCATTCATTCGTTCGTTCGTTCGTTCATCCATCCATCCATCCATCCATCCATCCGTTCGTTCGTTCGTTCGTTCCTTCGTTCCTTCGTTCCTTCGTTCCTTCGTTCCTTCCTTCATTCATTCATTCATTCATTCATTCATTCATTCATTCATTCATTCATTCATTCATTCATTCATTCATTCATTGATTCATTGATTCATTGATTCATTGATTCATTGATTCATTGATTCATTGATTCATTGATTCATTGATTCATTCATTCATTCATTCATTCATTCATTCATTCATTCATGCATGCATGCATGCATGCATGCATGCATGCATTCATTCATTCATTCATTCATTCATTCATTCCTTTCGTTTGTTCGTTCGTTCGTTCATTCATTCATTCATTCCTTCCTTCCTTCGTTCGTTCGTTCGTTCGTTCATTCATTCTGTTTTTGTTTCTTTCTTTCTTTCTTTCTTTCTTCATTCATTCATCCATCCATCCATCCATCCATGCATGCATTCATTCATTCATTCATTCATTCATTCGTTCGTTCGTTCGTTCGTTCGTTCGTTCGTTCGTTCGTTCGTTCCTTCGTTCGTTCGTTCGTTCGTTCCGTCTCGTTTGGTTTCGTTTGTATTGTTTCACTCAGCGACTCATTTGCATGAATGTAAGACACAGATGGCTGCTTTGACTCTTCTGATAGCCACAGCTTTGCTTTGTGGGAAGGCCAAGTTTGGCACGACACCGTGGCTTTTCCAAGTTTGGCACGAAATACCCGCATTTGTAAGGATCTGCGCGCGGCGGACGGATTTTGACGGCGGCTGGGGTCTGGACTTGGTGCTGAACTGCAGATCGACGGGTGGCTTCGGCGGCGGAGGCAGACACGCTGCGCGCTTTGTCGGGGCTTGAGACAAGATCAGACGCAAGTGAAGAGCTATTTCCTTGGAAGAGGATTTTGTTTTGGCTCCATTTTTGCCTGGATCCACTTCAGGCCTGAGATCCGTTGCTGGAACCGTGGCAGACTGCTTTGGGACTGCTTTGGGGAACTGCCCTGTTAGGTGACTTCTTCCGCACTGAGCTGCCTGGCAGATGTGAGACCGCTTAACGCCATGTCCCCTCAGGGCCAACTGATAGAGATGGAGCAAAGGCCAATGATGTGAATAACGTTAAAGATCCGCAACTAGGAGATGAACACGCGCCACTACTTTTCCGCTGCGAGCTGGCCCACCAACATTTGAGCGATAAGAAAGGTAATGCAAAGCCCCCTGTGGGTCCAATCCTCGAGTTGTTTTGCTTGGCTTTGGGTCATTCCGACTTGACTTGATAATTTTGCATTGTTCGGTTTGCTGCCTTGCCTGTTGAATTCCTTTTGGTTTCCATGTTCCCATTCAGCGAGCGACACCGCGAGCTCATGTTATGACGTCGACTTCTGGTTTCCTTTTGGCGCTTGGCCTCCTTTCAGCCAACCACTAAAAGGAATCTCAGACGAAAAAAGAAAAAAAGGAAAGACAAAAAACACCCCTCACTCTGGATCGATGCTGCCTGCTTGCAGTGATCCCAGGAAGATCAAGTGGTGCTGCAGCAACAAACTCTTCTCGAAAGCCTGCCCCTTCGACTGCATGGCCGATGGCCATCACGACCTGGGCTGGGAGAACGACAAGCGCCAGTGGTGCTGCAGGTGGGATGGACCCACTTGCAAGATTTGAGGGGCCTTGGACCTGCTGTGCTGCTTGCTGGTGTTGGTCTGGGCGCTTGCCATTCAGCAATCCGTCTTGAACATCTTTCTGGCAGTTGGATCTGCTTTCTTTTGCTTGGATACTGGAGGTTGAGAAACGACCTTGGTGGGCCTTCTAGCACATTTTCCAAGTGGTTGGTTGCCTTTGGGGGCCAGGTGTTTGCGTCAGGCTCTTTCTTGTTTTTGCCATCTTAAAGGCGGATGCGACCGAGCAAGTATAAATTGTTCTAACTTGCCGTGGACACCTGCGTGTCTGGCTCAGTGGCTGGCTCACTTTGGACACTTTCGACGTACCAAGCGAACCACCACAATGGGGGAACATCCTCCGTCCCCCCGAGATTGCCGCCCTCTCCAGTAAAAACCACCATAATCCAACTACAGATCCTCAAATCCATTTTGATCTTGTAGACGGTTCAACCCCTCCAAAATGATAGCAAGTGCCGCAGGAACCGCGGCCTCGGATGCTCTGGCTCCATGCAGCCCGGCACCCCCTATTGGCAAGCGAGCAGCGGCCCGCACAACTGCCACCTGTCAGTTGCTTGGCTTCAGGTCTCATTTGGGGACGATCCCTTGCACTTGGTCAACTTAGCGGAGGTTCCGGTAGGCAACGGATTTCTGGCCTGCTTTGCCGGCGCGGATCGTGCACCGGGCAGTATTGGGTAGAAATGATTGAGGCTCCCAAAACGGGATGTTGTAGTGGCAGAGGTTTGAGCATAGAGCAGGTGGTAACAACTTTTTGGCAATCTGCGCCTCTTCGAGGACAATGGTGACTACGACTTCGGCCACGGCGTGATGCCAGCGCCTGGCGGGGAGGTGGGCCACCGCTACGACTGCAGCGCGGCAGAATGTGGGAGACGCGGGAGTGTGTGCATGTTCCTCAAGTTTGGGGTTCTATAGACTTTTTGTACGCCTTGTTGTAGTTATTTTTGCTGTGCAGCAAGATGGAGATCCGGGCCTAATTCGAGAAGCATGATTGAGTCATTATATTGTGCACTTGAGTCATTTTTTGTGCAGTTGAGTCATTTCAAGGATACTGCACAACCCGCCTGCGTTGGACTTTAGGCTTGCAACTTTCATGGTTAAGTAGGTGGAATGAGTATCATCCCCGGCTGCGACTGCTTGACACTCAGAACTACCCACCTGCCGGACACATGTGGCCCAGATATCGCAACTGCGAGGCCCCCATTTCTCCCAAGTCAAGCGCACGCTGAGAAACTCCTAAACGGGGCATTTTTTGCGTGACTCTGAATGTGTTTTGCGCCCAAGGTAGACATGGCAATCCGGAGATGTGGTCCCAGGACAAGTCGCAGTTTTGCAGGCAGGGGTGTGCCGCGAGACCTGGTTTGGTTTGTAGTATCCCCCAAAGAATCCAATGAGAACAAAAGCACCAGGTACGACCGGTCACCATTTCAGAAGAAGTTCCCTTTCTCGCAAGATACCCACATGTGGAATTCACACAGACACACAGGTCCTTCGTGCCGGTTAAAGGATTGCAGAGTGCGCAGTCCGAGCGCCGGTTCCAAACCGGTCGGGCCTGGTTTCTGCAGGCTGTGGCTTGCCGCGGAGAATGGCATCCCCGGCAATGGTGGCCATGGTAGCAACGGTGGCGTCGGCGGTGGGATCCAAGACCAGCACACCCCGCACAATTGCCGCGAAGGACAGATCCTGTGAAGTTGGCGCCAATCACGGTTGGCGAAGGGCATGTTCGGAGCTCGCTTGGACCTCCAGCTGTCATTGTTGACCAATGTTTCTCTTTTGCCGTGGGAGCATGCCTGCCGTGGAAGGAGCCATGCGCGGTTGGACCGCAGAGCAAAAGACCAGGTTAGCAGGCCTCCATGCTGAATGAAAGCGGCACACCTACCCTCATACGCCCACAAGCTCTGACATGTACACACACACACACACACGTAAACACAGCCAGTCTGCACAAATTTGTGCTCAGCTAGACAGCGGAAGGAGACTCCAGCACCTGGCACCACCAGAAGTTCGAATTCTGCTGCGTCATCAAAGGTCCGAGCCCTGAGATCTCAGTTCGCAGAGAAAACACGTGGGAAAACCACAGGAAAGTCCATGTCAAACCTGGCAGCTCTCAGCAAGCAAACGAGCAGATAATTGCAGAGCGAAGGTTCCAAAGCCAAAGTTTTCGAGAAACGACGATTCACATTTGTGCATAGAAAATCCACGGGCAGGATAATCTGGGAAGGTACA